TTTGCACTACTTAAAGCCTTAACAGAGTAATAACATTTCTTTATTAGCCCTATACAATTTCTTGCATTAGGAATTCATCTTTTCGCATACCCCAGCTTTTCTCCATGGAGACACAGACACATAGACAGGGAGAGAAGCTTGGGGTCAGAGCGCAGGGCCATTGTACGGCACCCCTGGAGCAGTTAGGGTTAAGGGCCTTGCTCAGGGTCCTAACGGAGTAGGATTCCTCTGCCGGCCGAAGGATTTGAACCGAAGGATTTGAACCGGCAACCTTCCAGTCACAGGCGCAGATCCTTAGCCACAGAGCCACCGCTCCACCCACAGAGTCAGGGAGCAATTGGTTTCTTTTGTGGTGCTTGTCTAGCTATAGGTGAAGCTTACTGGCAAGTAAACACAAATGATTCCTGAGGGAATCAGAACCAGAAAAGGGAATATTCTGGTTTTCTCTGGTTAATTAAGTTCTTGGTAAATTGTTAGCATTATTAGCACAATCTTGGTTGATTGTGTGTCCTTGAACACAGCATTAAAAGAGACAAGTAAAAAAGGAAGAGAAGAGAGAAGGAAGACAGGAGAGACAGAGAGAGAGGGAACAGCACCATCACCCTCCTCTTCCTCTAAGCTTGTGCTGTTTATTATAGATAATTCTGGTGGTTTTCTTGTGAGAAGACTTAGCCAGTTTAGCCTGATACTGTGGAATCCTCAGGCTAAAATCTCTATTTACCTGTTTTGTGACAGGCACTCAGTGAGACAATTTTTGTTGGTCCTATCTGCTGTGTTAAAATAACCATCAAATGTCCTTAATTGAGAATCACTCAATAAAGACATTCTGCACCTGTATCATATGTTCAACCTTAAAAATGGTAGCAACAAGTGTAAATCAGCAAATTATTGTAATGAGAATAAGACCAAGTTAGGTACCTAATGACCTTTGTCTCTGATCTAATGTTGATCATGATATGCAGAGCAATCTGTTGCTGCAATATTTAAAGTGCTACTTTACTGTATTTATGCTCAAGTATTATTTTTTCCTATCTGGATGTTTTCTTCTATTTAATAAGGGTAGAGCATCATATGTGTACATTTTACAAGGATATCAACACAGCATATCATTGGTGAGTGTTACTGATTGCTATTTGAATGCAAACTAGGAAATCACTTCTTATTGATCAAGCGGCAGAGGTCACACTAGAAATGTGAGCTCTTCTGACCCTTCTTCACCATAAAGGATTGTTTGAAGTGCTGCTTACCTGTGAAGCCAAAGAGTTACAGAGAAATTCACATGGTGTCAGTAAATATTTATAAGGTGCAAGGCTTTGATTTATATGTATATAGTAAAAAATACAACATGATGAAGCCCTGATTTGCATATAGAGTGTCAGTACTTACACTACATTATGCAGTACAAGTAAGGCGTCTTCTCATGCCATTACAAAAGAAGTGCTCTGGTTAAAATTTTATGTTAGTCGTCCTGACACATTAGCAGTATTAATCAGATGACGGATTGCTTCACACAGGCTGGCTGCTGCTTTCATTAGTGGTTATATTCACAGAAATGCGAAGTGCCTGCTTTTGTATGAAATCCAGATCAGAATCAATACCCCCAAGGCTGTGAGAAAAAAAGATACTTCCTAATTTAATGAAATAGGCATTACAGAGTACCCCAGACTTGTCCTAGGCATGAGAAATTGTCGACAAATTAATTTTAAACCTGGAGCCGAAGATTGCTTTCAATTAAACAATCCCCTTTGCTTGAATCTGATTGGGTTAAATGCATAAGGAATTGGGTCTTGCAAATTTAAAGAATAGTCCTTGCAATTTCAATAAGTGTGCAGATATTATATCTTTCCTGAGTTTTGGGCAAGACATCCTGGAAGAATATTTTTTTTTGGAATAGGTTAAAATAACTCTTAGAAGTCTCCAGTTGAGACAAAATATCCCAATCGAATCATACTACATGTGTACCATAAATTCTACTTTTAAGACAGCACTGATGAGTAAAGTGACGCCTTACTGTAATAAGGGTGAGAGCACACAATTAATGAGACTAACAACTTGTGAGATACTCTATAAAGATGTATTTTTGATCAACAGATGGTATCTGTTGCCTTAACAGTAGTGTAAATAGTTTTTGTCTTTTTTTTTTTGCTGGTCCACAAGTGATAGCGAATAGTCAAAGTTTTTTGGGAAATAATAAGTGAAACAGTTCCCTTACACAAATGTCTGTGTAAGAATCAGGTCAGTATTTACTTGAGCTTTAGTTGAACTTTAGTTGCATAGAGCAGTTACTGTAGTAACTGAAATTACGGGGCTTGCTCAGTGTCTAATATGTAAATCATGATGTGCAATGGAGGTACTGGAGATCTTAATAGTGACATGAGCATTACACTTCCAACACGTTGTCAAGCCACAAATGCTTACAAAATTACCTTAAAACATTTTAATAAGTAATATGCTATATTAATATGCTACTTTAGCTATATTAAGATGCTGTTTGGCCGCCTCTTTATGAAGTCTTTTTTGAGTCATTTGGCTGATTCTATTTTTGAAACCTTTCCACCTTTATGAAACCTTTATGTACTATATTTGTAGTTATATACAAGCTATAATCAAGTGGAAAACAATTAATACACTTTTTTATTCAAACTCGTAGCCTCAATAAACTTTAGCTAGATTTTAAGAGAAAATTGCACTGTTGTCTTCAAAATTGTTCTCCTCTTACTGAGGTATTGTTGAATGTCTAAACATACACTGTTGGAATGTAAAATGTATCCTTTATCAATCCCACTCAGTTTCTGACAATCAATGCTGACATCAAAGCACAAGACTCAACATTCTATTCTATCTTTTATGCTTTAACACCATTCTTATGGTATTCACATACACTGTAGTGCACACATAAAGAGGACTCAACAAGATGTCTTTAAGATTCTTTTTCAATGGTAAAGACAAATGTTGACCATCTCGTGTTACAAGACACTGTCAGATCTGTGCTAAGAAGTCCCAAAGCATGGACTGCCTTTTATTGAGAAGTGACAGAGCTGACTGACAATACCAAGTAAACTCGGGTCCTGCCCCATTCTCACACAACTCATATAAAAAAGTGTTTTCTATTCAGTGGCCTTGATTTTCTTTAGATTTATTTTGATGCAAATATATTAAGATCTTCATACATGTAACACCATAGGAAATACAAAGTAAGCATAGCAGTGGAAAACATTTTGTATAAACACACATATGTTTTTTAAATGCTGTACATCGCAAATGATTATACTGCTAAGCAATGTACACATGCAGCAGATAACATGAAGTTCTTGTTACATTAATCTGTGAGTCCTGAACCCCATATACACTTCTGATCTGTGTATAATTTCTTTGATGGGTCAAAAGAACAAAATTCCGGAGGTAACGGAACAGCCACTTTCTCTGTTTCAAAGCAGGGGCATGAAAAACAGCAGGAGGTCTGTCACTCTGATTACTCACATCAGGCATCTGATTTTGAGTGGTTACACTACATTCCAATAGGCTGTCAATAAAATGGCACAACTGGCTATCCAGTTGTTTGGGACTATTCTGTTATTGTTTCAGTTCAGTCAGCTCAATAAAAACAGAAGATAATTCAGCTGGTTGGTAAAGTTGAATCCCCTCAATGTCTTGCTGTGAGCAACACTTGTTAATGCTGTGCTAGATCTTTATATAGGCACTCCCAAAGCAGCAGAGGTTTCTTGTCATGAACAGTACCATTTTTACTCCTTTTGGTTATATAGTGAGCTGATTTAGTCTTAAAAAATAAAATAAGTGCCTCCTCAAACAGATGCATTTTAAGAAGTTTCTTTTTATTGATGAGATTGCAAGTGTTATTGCAATTAAAATAACTCAGAACTCAACTAGTCATTTGCAGATTTGTTGTGGTTTCTAATTACCACATATTTGGATAAAACTATAATAAAAACTAACTTTAAAAGCTTAATTATATTAGAAAATATGGTTCTTTACATTGTTGTGAACTGTACACTAGCTGTTCCCTAAATATGTTTTGTAATAATTACAAAAGTAGATTTAATTGGCTTAAGTCTGTTTTTGCATTTTAATTTATATTTCTATAGCACAAAAAAAGGATTTTTAAGCTTTCTATGGAAAAAGAACTAATGGTTCTGAAATTGTAAACCTGAGACATTCTTTACTACTGCTTTGTCATAAAAGTTTATACTTTAAAACTGATTTGTTTTATGTTTTAAAAGTACTTAAAAGTTACCATTTCTTTTTTGTGAAACAACAAAAGCTCTAAAAGTACAGTCTGTATTAAGATAGTTAACCTTCAGCTGGAACTTTGTCACAAGTATGGGAATGGATCTCTCTAGCTGCAGGCTATAGTTTGGAAATATTCACTGTAAATGACTTTCGATCTCATAGTATTTATTACATGGAATTTAACCTTTTCAAACAGGATCAGTGCAGTTCTTGTGCTTTCATCAAATCCTCCGTGTACTTTCATCAGACTGGGCAAACTCAGATGCCTGTGACCTTTATAGCAATGGTTCCAGAGTTCTTTCCTCCTCATGCAAGCCTCCTCCGTGTTGTCTGCTCACTGTGCATGACAGGGATACGATGAAGGCTTCTCTGAAGCTTCATGGACAGCAGTTTCTGCAGGAGCACGCTTTTAACAGCGTTCTCTGGTCATTACTCAGCAAGGCACTTAATCATGTTCTTATGCAATGATGGACAAAATTTTAGTTCAGTTTCAGCAAAATTATTTTTTGCTGAAATTGGTGCTGTTTTATATCTTGTATTAGAATTTGAATGACACTGTATCACAAGTTTAATAATTTAGTGATATATCAGTAGTCAGATGTATTATAATATATGACCAAAAGCACAGATGTGTCATGCTGTGAATTACTTTTGTGATCTTAGTCTTTGAGAATGAATATTCATCTTCTATGATATTACTTTACAACAGTTCTTTTTTAACGTTTCCTGTTTTTTTTTATCTATCCTTTCAGGAACGTATGGGCCTGACAGTTGGGTTTCAGCAAATCCAGATTGCAGAGGAAAGCACCAGTCTCCCATCGACATTGTAGACCAAGATGCAAAAGTTTCATCTGAAAATCAAGAGTTAAACCTTGAAGGTTTTGATACTGAGTCATCAAATAAGACTTGGATGAAGAACACAGGAAAAACTGGTAAGATCTAGTTACTTTTCTACTCGCACCTCACAAACCCTTTCTATGTTAAATACATTTTCTCCTGTATATCAACAGTGTTGATTTAAAATAAGTTGATCAACCACTAGGTAAGATGAGTTATGAGATGTGGAGGTGGTTTTTTTAATGATAATTTTGATAATGAGCAAAATTGATTTCCTCCATCATGGTGGAAGGTCAGGTTTTACAGAATTGTGTTTAAATTAAGAGATTGTATTAAATTCACAAATGAGAGGTCTGCATACTACACTATAAAATTAACACTGTTCTCTTCTTGTGCCATTTATGGTTAGTTGTAATTCTTATTTACTGCATTCATTTGAATTCACTATACTGTACATGTCACTAAACTGTTTACAGGACAATAAATTAAGCAAGGCTGAGGTCTGTATGGTAAAGGGTAAACCTGGAGCCAAGTGTCAAGGAAACTATCCCAAAGTGAGACTCAGAATATATTAGGTCATTGTATATTTGCATCCAAAATAATGCCACACTGCAAATTGAAAACATCAGTCTTTTAAAGGCAGACTCTTAGGTTGAGTTATGAAGATTTGTTGGTGTTTATTCAGTTCCAGTCAGGGGAGAGTATCACCTTTGGACAAGAAAGCAGCTTATTAATAACAGGATAAATATCTAGAACTTTTGAAAGTAAGGAAGAGCTCAGATAAGAGTGAAAGCATTGTTCTGGTTTGCTCACCCTCAGGAGAAAGCATGCAAACCTGGGGAGATGAAAAATACGTTTCCAGGTTTCTAAGCATGCACAGAATTTTGATCGAGGTTTTCATTCTCAAGGTCTTGTCCGGGAGCTGAGGGATGCGGCTGGCAGTGACATTAAAATGTGCAGCTGACAGGAGAAGTGAGAGAGGACGCTGTTTTCTGTGTCACATTACCCGGCTAGAAGCAAAATGGAGGGAAATAAACAATTGTGGCAACATTTAAAATCAGAGCCTCTTAATTATCCATTAAATTATTCATGTAAAACAAGAAAAATGACCTCTTATAGTCTGATTAATTGTTTATGTGTCCTTCACTATTCAGAAAAAGAAACCAAACAGTACTGTGTGCCGTACACTTAAACAAGGTCTTTCAATTTGGTTCTGTGTTTGAAAGTGCAAAGGTGGTACATTTAAAAATATTATTTTTAATTATTGTTTTTAAAAGCATCCCTGCAATATCCCTGAGTTCTGGTTCCTGCCTGGTTAGGCTCTGGTTCACCATGACCTCATTTTAGACTAAGCGGTTACTGAAGACAGCTGAATATTTTTTAAACACTGCATCCAGCCCTTTACTCAAATACTTTTTCTTACTGCTTTTCCCCCCATTGTTTTCCAGTTTTCACTTTGGGCATCTGCTGTACCCATCAGTGTTATGTCAGAAATCAAAGACATGATAGTGAATTCATTATTATAAGCACATTAAAAAGGAATTTGGATTGATGAAGGATTTCTTTTCACATGGGCTCCTGTTTTCACATAGTATTATTCAAGGTCTTTAGGTTTAAGTTATAATTCCTCTTTCTCCTCTTTATGCACTGTAAAGCATTGCTAATGATGCATTGAAGCATTTTTGTGGCTGTGTGGTTTTAAGTTGGACTTGTATTAGTTAGTATTCTGCTCAGGATTATGGCTCTAAATCAGCAACATCATGCGAAACAAATTATTAAAACCGAAAACAAAATATTTTACAGCTGCTGGATTTTTCCATCCCTTACAGTGCATTGTATGATAAGTAGGATAATCTTCTGGAATGCCTCTGGATGTTTACAGTAGATTCGCCAGAGCCATATTCCCTCTGATCAATTAAACTACCATCAGTATATTGTTTTAAGAATCTACAAGATCCATATACCATGAGTATTAAACCGCTGCTGGTGTTTTGCTTGTTTTCAGTTTGGATTTGTGCTATTCAGCAGTGATACAAAAACATAATTATCTGTAGGGAATGAAACTCATTTACTTTTCATCTTACTTTAAACTGAATTTCTTTCCTCAATAGCTGGGATGTTGTAATATTACTCTGCACCTCTGCCTTAAAGTTAATGTTCTTGAATTTTACGAAGATTTCTAATGACACATTTGGTGGCAGGATTATCAATGGGAACTATAAAATAAAAACTTCAAAATAAAATTCAAAACGTAACATTCCCCAGAAATGCCATTTTTGGAAGATGGATAATTAGAACACAGTTTCTTAATTTGATTGAATCTTAATAGTTTTTCACAGTAGATCTCTTATTCTGCATTGGATTGTCAGGGGGTCACTATGGCCTCCCCATGTGAACATGCAAGTTCCTTATATTGACTGTTTTAAGTATAGTAGAAATCTCAAATGAAAAGCAGGATAATGTGTAAAAAAAAAGGATAATGTGTTTAAAGGATCAATCAAGATATTAATTCAACAGAACCATGGTTCTTTTCATTGAAGATTCTAAATAGGTAAACTAGACATCTTCACTTATTGTATACATATTTTTCCCCACCACAATTTTAGGTGTATTCCTTTTCTTTTTTTTCTCGTGGATCCATGTGCCTCAGTGTCGATGTCATGTTATACATTTCTGAACTTTTATTCATATTTTCTTTTTGCAGTTGCTATCTTGCTGAAGGATGATTATTTTGTCAGTGGTGCCGGCCTACCAGGCAGGTTCAAAGCTGAGAAAGTGGAGTTCCACTGGGGCCAGAGTAACGCTTCAGCAGGCTCTGAGCACAGCATCAATGGCAGAAGATTTCCAGTTGAGGTGAGAGGCGCGGACTGCTCAGAACAAAGAAGAATGAGAAACAGGTCAAAGTTTCTGGTGTCACTAAAGTTGTACTATAGTGAAATTCCAAAGTAGGGGACTCCCATTTATTGATCAGACATGATGTGATGTATGAGTCAACTTGTTAAAGTCAGCCAATGCTGCAGCAGCAGAATTTCAGATCTGCCTAGTCTTCTGAATATAATTCAGGAGAACAATGAACAATTATTTTTTTAACTTTCATTCAAATTCAAATTCTGTGGCTTCTAAAGTAGTGTCAGAACCTTGTGTGTTTCACATTCTTCTAATGGAAAGTGCTGTGATTTTTCTTTGATACTTATTCTATTCTATATTCTATTTCCAGTGAGTTCTTAAATATTTAATTGTGACCACAGTGCAGATTTATTCAAGTAGTTAATTTGAGTAATAATGGTTTTGTGTGTTTGTTAATTAATCACTGATTGGCCTCGCATTGTCCTTCTTCCATTTCTAATCCAGTGTTGTCTGAATACTATGGAAACAGTGAAGGTTGATTCAAAAAAAGTCTCTTATCTGTAACCCAGCACAAGAAATGTGATCATGTGCAAGGACAGTACCCTCCTTGTAGTACTTCGCCAATGTTAGCACATTTTTTCTTTGAATGGGCAGTTTGTTCCTTAATAACTTTGAAGGACAGCCTTCAGTTCAGTAATGTGATTCTGTGAGTCCTTGAAAGTGCATTCAATGGAAATTGAAAAGGACACGCAGAAAAGGCTGCACTTATTTCCTGTTCATTTTTTTCTTCCTCAACCAGCAAGCACCTGTTTTCTTTTTCTTTACCTTTGGAACTTCTGTAGCCCTCTTTTTTAATTTCTGCTTACCTGTTATTCCCTTCACGTTTATTTAGGAAGGATTCCTTACATAAAAGTGTTCTAATTCTTCTAGTTCTTTTTTTTAAGAGTTATGTTTTTAAAATTGGAGCTTTGGTTGTCTTTGGGAGAAATGTTTTGAAAAATATAATTGTTCCAGTGCCTGAAATGACAAAACTAGATGGATTTTTATCATTCATCTTCCTTACTGATCTCAGTGATCAACAGAAAACAAAATCATCTATTCACGTTTTATTGTAATAAAAACCTTAAATTTAGGTGAGGGTCTTTGTCAGAGCTCAGATTGCTTTGTCTCAAATGTTTCCGTATCGTAACTCATTTGTGTATATTATGGGTTTTCAAAATAATTTAATTTTACTAATTACAGTTCTGTACTTAGAGCAATGTAATGCTAATTAATATGACTTAAAACATTTACCTTAAATAATAAACTAATCCCTTAAGGAATGTGGACTGTGGTACTTTAAAATCCCAGAAATTTGTAAGCCATCTGCAGCATTAGAAGATTCAAGATGACTTTGCCCCTAATAAAAATGTTCATAATGTGCTGGAGATGAAAAGGGTTGCCAAGAATAGGCTCTGTCCTAACAGCTTATTCTTAGGATGCATGGGGCCACATACCATTGATACCTCTGAAATGCCTGTGCACTTCCAACAGAATGCTTTCTGAACTTAATTAGAAATCCAGATGCAGCTCGGAAGTCTATTTGTTTTACAGCAGACCCCAGGAGAATGCAGATGAGACCACTCTTACCCACACAGCCCCCATCTACAAGCACAAAGTGGTGCCAGGCATCTAGGAAACGAAATACGTACAATTAGCGTTCAGTCAAGGAGGATGAATTGAATACAGAAACTAATTAGAGGTGTCAGCTTTAATGCAGTGCCTTATTGTTTGTTCATACTATTTGTTTTTTTATTATTTTTATTATTATTGCTTTTCAAGGCTAATGTGCCATCAGGTTCATCTGTCAGTGCTAACTGGTTTCTTCATTAGGAGAGTTCTGGCTGTATTTAATGTTGTTGTCATTAGTTTACATGTTTTTGAGTACAAAGTACCGCTTTTAAAAAAACCTTTGAAGAACTGTGGTAATATTAATAATAATAAGCTGGATTATTAACGCACACATTTTACAATTCCTTTCAAGCATAGTTTGGTCAGACAATTATTGTTGCAGGCACTGCTGAGCTCCTTTATGAAGTTTCTGAATATTATTTGGGGAATGCTTTGGTAGAACAGGCACTATGACTGCATGGGAGGTGAGTTTGAAATGGCTTTCATCTTGTGGTCCCAGTCAGATACTCTGCGGGGACCAAAAGATAATTGAGTTCTGCTGGTTACGGCCTCACTGTGGGTTGACATTGGTCTAAATAGCAGAGAGCCATCAACTGGGTTCTGTAAAAACGCAAACGGACAATAAAGAAAAAAAACCTTTTACTGGAAAATAAATGGGGAGTTTTCGTAGAAGGAACTTTACAAGTGTACCGGAAACAGGAGAGAAAAAAATCTCTTAAAAGACAACCTATAAAGCTTCTGGTGTTAGAAATATTGCTTGTCAATCTTTATTATTTATTAATATTCCCAGATATAAGTCTTGCAGCTTTGTTCTAATTAAAGGGCCCCATCACAGTCTGAAATCTCCACTCTTCTCTGTTGTACCTTAAGGGCTTCCCTCCCTCTCCCCACACACAGACCTCCCCAAATGACTGTAATTATACAGTAGGTATAGATTGGTATTAACACAACTAATGCTTAGTAATTGTGCTCCTTGCATTGTCCTACATGTTTAGTAGCACACATTATTTCTATACATGTAATGGGAAATGTGTCCTTTTTGCTGTTAAACAGAAAATGAATAACTCGGATTTGGAACAAAATAGTATAAAATTCTCGGTAAAATTAAGAAGTAATTAAAACCACATTGTCATAAACTCTGCAGATGGTTAAGTTGATTACCTCTGAATGCGTATTCCCCCTGTTGAGCTTAAAGTGAATTTCCAAAGCCTGTGCAGCAGCATCCTTGCAAAATATTGTTCCTCTTGAGTCTTGGCAATAGGGAATGTTACTTTTTTTGGAGAGGGTGTTTAAAAACTTAAATGTACCTAACGCCAGATGAATTATCAGATGAATACGTCTTACATATTATCGGTTTAATATTAAACTAAAAAAATATATATATTTTGGAATAATTTATATTATGCAACTGTGCCTCCCATCATGAGTTGAGTTGGAATGGGACAGTGATATTTGAATAATCCAATTGTCATGGTGTAATTTAGTTAACAACTCCGTTGTTGAGTATAGAATTTTATTGCCTCCTGCAGATTGACAGATCCCAGTGACCTGCCACATCTGTTGCAGTGAAACCACTTGTAAAGTGGGATTAATGCCTCTTGACTCCACTCTCAAGGCTGCCCATGCTGTTGTCATCAGATAATAGAAGTGAAAAGTCAATGTTTTGTCCTTGAAAAATCATTTGGAAAGATCAAAGATTTAGATTTTTTTCTTTCTGTGAAGTACAGCTGTTAGTGTTTTCGCCATAAAGCCACCAGAGCTAAAGTCCTTTTTCACAAAGTCAGGGTGCATCTTTCTTATTTCTGTGGTTCTGCTACCTGTGCTAAATCACATGAGGTTCTTACCTTGTATGTCTTGCCTTCCCAGAGAAGTGCCACCCCTTTAATGGATAATGGTTTAACTCCGCTTATCACAGCACTTTTGATTGCCACCGATTTTGACTGGAATTGAATTAAACAGCTGGCTGTGAAGGGCCTCAAATCTCTGATTCTCTTAGACATGAGGCCTTCTTGGCCTCCTCCTATTAACAACATACCTTTCCCTTTATTTATCCTTCAAGGTTTCAATAGAGGCTGAAGAAAAGAGACTGTCTTTAATATTCTGTCGGCAGAATCTGTTGGGATAGACTTTCACTTTCCTTTGTCTGGTTATCTTTCTTTTGGGAGGGGGGGCAGGAAAGCTGAAGCTGAAGTGCATTACAGAAATCTGTTCTGGTCTCTACTGAAAGTCTGCTGAAAATAAAAAAATTAATGAGAGAAGACACTCGGTAAATGTTAAAATATGATTTACACAGGCGGTTTTCTCTTATGTTGAGGACATTTCCATTGTCTGAACATTTGTTTTTAAATTAAGGAGATGTTATTAAACTAATCTGTGCAGTTATGGACAGCAAGGAGCCAATTATGGTGACCGAATATGCATGTTTAGTGGGGGCTAGTTATGCTTTTTGAGAATCAAAGAAATACAGTAATTAGTCTGTAAAAAGGATGAACAAAGACAGGTGATTTTAAAAGTATTTACTCAAAGAGTACAAAAGAATGAGTTATGTTATTCCTGGAAAGATTTAAATATTAAAGAGGCAACAAATTGTTCTTTTTAAGTTTATTGATTGCTATTTTTCTTATAGTGGCACATTAAGAGAAGTGAGTCATTTCGTTTTATGAGTTTAACATCATTTAAAGCACAGAATTCAAAGCTTGGTGAAATCTGATTCCTTCTACTATACAAGATCTTTTGTTACACAGAGATGCCCTGGCGGGTTCCCTTCAGTCTTAAGAATAAATCTGTATAAAGCGTTTTTCATGAATGGTGTCATTTACGGTCTCAGCCCAGAATTTCCATCATGTCTGAAGAGTTTCAAAATTGAATCATGTCTCAGCTAATAAGTCTTTCATAGATTTAATGAGCGTGATGTACTGTCTAGGGTGGCTAGAATCACAAAACATTTCTTTAAGGCTGATTAATGTTATCAACCGACAGCACCACCATTTTATAATTTAGACCTGCCAACCCAGCTCAGGGTATTCAAAATTTGTGCATCATAAAAATGTATTAATTAGCTTTTTTCCAACTCTTGAGGTTTCATTCTCTTTCTTAGTATGTCAGCTCACATTTCAAAACATAAGAGCTATGCAGTGTTTTCTATCTTTTGTTCTATGAGCAAAAGATGAGTTCTATTTTCTTACAAAATTCTCAACAAATGCTGTCTCTAGCAGCATATAGCATAAAATAGAAAATAAATAAAGATTATACCTAAAGAAAATATACAGTACAACCATAAAGAAATGTACAACGGTAGAATTATTTTTATACAAAATGTGTTGCTACAATATAAA